TTAAGTATCCCACACCATACATTAGTTTTAAAGGAATACTGATCACCACATTCAACTGTGAAATTGGGATTTTCTTGGGCCCACCATCGGCAATTTTGAGAACTTACCGTTCCATTTGAAGAGAACGTTGCCTCATCTGTTCATATAATTTTATACGGAAACTTTACATTTTCTTCTTTCTCTCCTTGAAACCAGAATGAAAACCCCAAACGGACATCAAAATCTCGTTTTTTTAATGTGTTAAAATTTTTCTAACACTTTATCTCTTGTAATCGGTATTTTTTATAATATCGGTTATGCTCGTTTGCCCGTGTTCAATAACTTTTAAACAAATGTTAAGTCGGGCCTCCTCATCATATTTACTTGGAGTGTGCTTTTTCTTAAATTGATTTGCTACGGATCCTGTTTCTCTGAATTTCGACATTATCCTTGACACAGTAGTATGTTGAACATATTAAAACTATTTCTATTCTTTCATGAAGAGACAACATTATTGCAACAATAACTGTTAAAAATTTGACAAGTAAATCAACAACTTGACACTACCATAGCATGCATTTTGTTTGTCAAGACCTACTTAAAAAATTTTTATTCAACGTGATTAAGCATCCTTACCGCCCTAGTTAACTAGGGCGGTTAATTAGTTAATTAGTTAATTAGCATCCTTACCGCCCTAGTTAACTAAGGATGCTAATTAGTGTTTATAAATAATCTGTAAATACTGAATATTGAAATTTTAATGTAATTTCAACTCTAGTAATTTTATTATTACTTTGCAGTTTTTGAGTTATGTCTTCTTTTTCAAAATTGAAGGTACTGACGTTTGTTTAAGAAAATAGCCAAGTGATTGAAACTTTGCACCAGTCATGTTAAAATTTGTATAGCACATTTTTAATTTCTCTCTAAAAATGTCCGTATAAGTGAAAATTTATCAGAAAAGTTAAGCTCTATGATGAGTTTGTTATGTATACATGAATTGATGACAATTAACCGAACTTAAAATAAAGGGGATATCTGTCAAAAATAAGCAAAACGTTAACTTTATCCTAGTTGCATAAAATTTGGCATATGGATATAAAATTGCCGTAGACACAACTTTTTCAAGTAACTTTTTGTTAAATTCGATCCAGAAATGCACTTTTTCAAAAATTTTCAAAAAAAAGTTGAATTTGACAAACACTGAACGTCAGTGTGTCGCAGTTGGCCGCATCATTTTAAGTTAAATTTAAAGCACAAACAAGAACCGAAGTTAAACTTCATTGAAACTTTTCGAAAAAAAAGTTTCCCATATGGTGCACACTTTAATGGTGCCACTGTATATATATACTATTTTGATCATTCCCATATTGACTTCAATTTAAGAGCCACTGGTATACAGCTGTTTCAGCCTATTGGACATCGTCAGTACCGGGCAGGCGGTCTTCGATTGAAGATAATATGTGTCATCTTGTAAATTTTTCTTTTACCCTTTCAACTGAGATTCGTCAGGAGGACGAGTGGTTCATAACTGAAGGTGTTTTTTGGTAACGACATAAGGATCACTGACCTCTATGCCGCTCTAGCCTTGAGCACCCCTTCCTGTCTGGGGTATTTGATGTACAAACTGTTTAACAGACGACGTGGGGCCTTCACTCAACCGAGCGACGGGGCCTTCTGAATCGAGTGGGATCGTCTATAGTGTAATCTACAGCTTCCCTAACTAATGAGTTATCATGGATAAGGTTCTTTATCTTGGGAGGAAACGCATTGTAGCTTCGCAGAGGACACTCTGTCCTGGTTGTGGCTGCGCGGAAAGCGTTGTTCACAGACAATTCGAAATCCGCCACTGCCGCGTCGAGACCGTTGCGAGTTCGAAGCCCCTCACGGTCCGTACGTGTTTCCACTAGATGAGCCTTGAATACTTTCCAATCCGTGGATGAGTATCAGGATGACAGGATTGTGATCTGATTCAAGTTCCGACAAAGTGTACACTTCTCAGGACAAGGAGACGTTCCTGAGTAGTGCGATATCAGGCACGTCGGGTCTGGTATCCCCACGATAGAACGTAGGCTTATTTGGACCCATCACTCGATACTCATGCCTGTCAGCATGTGCATGGAGCGCTCGGCCGTTCGCATTGGTGATTCTGCTCCACAGATTGTGTTTGGCGTTGAAGTCACCAGCAGCAATTGTGGGGGTATCTGTCGACATCAGCAGTTCGTCTATTGATTCTGGGAGTGAACGATTCTGCGGAGGGTTGTAAACTGAGATTAGTCTATGACGACCTCTTCTCAGTTGGAGTTCAACGCCCACGGCTTCCGTGCCGTGTAACTGATCCGAGTCTATGCCGAATTGTACGTGAGGAAGATTACGTTTGACTAAAATGCCAACTCCCCCTTCAACACGTCCAACACGTTCTCTATGGTAGAAATGGTAGTTTGGAATACCAAAAGGTCCATTGTGCAGGTGGGTTTTCTGCACAAGTGCAACATCAATGTTATGTTCTGTCAGGAAGTTCTCAAAATCATGTTTTTTGTTTGAAATACTATTGACATTCCAAAATACAACCTTAAGAGTCAGGCAATGTAGGTTGTCTAGCCATTAACAATCTCCAGTTAGCACGTTGGTGTTGACCGTAAACATTTTTTCAAGTACGGGAAACTGAATGAAGAGTTTCTTCATCTAGTCCAGGGCAGAGCAGAGAGTCAATATGTGTCGTCGATAGTCATCTTCATTTTCTTCAGGTTGGAAATTTTCCTTTTACCCTTTCAACTGAGATTCGTCAGGAGGACGAGTGGTTCATGACGTACGGTGTTTTGGTGGCAGCATAAAGGTCAGTGACAGATATGCCGCTCTGGCCTTGTGTACCCCTTCCAGACTGGGGTATTTGATGAACAAACTGTTCATTTTAACAGACGTCGTGGGGCCTTCACTCAACCGAGCGACGAGGCCTTCTGAATCGAGTGGGGTCGTCTATAGTGTAATCTACAGCTTCCCTGACTAGTGGGTTATCATGAGTTTCCGCTGACTCGAAAACTCTCTGATTCCTCGACTGAATGGACTGCCGTATAGTTAACAGCTTCAAATCTCTGCGGATGGCTTCATTCCGCATGAACCATGGATCATTCACCGGCACCCTGAGAAGTTTATTTTGCAACCTTTCCAAAGTGGAGAGGTTTGACGGAGCGGTTTGTCCCCAAGCGCCTGAAGCATACATAATGACAGGCTTGAACATCGTTTTGTATAATAAAATCTTATTTCTAAGACTGAGCTTAGAGTTTCGATTGATCAGAGGATAGAGTTTGGCTATCCTCATTTGTACTCTGTTCTTAATATAGTCAATGTGATTTACCCAGGTGAGTCGGCGGTCTACCCAAAGACCGAGGTATTCGACTCGCGTTTCCTGGGTTTACCCGAATCTTCCACTCCAGGTACTAGCGTTCGAGGTCGTCCAATGCGCGTTGCATGTAGATGACCGCCAACCCTCGACCCATGGAAGAAGCGTATAGAGAAACCTTCACGTGATCGAACCTCGGAAGGTCGCTCACGTAAAGGCTGTACAGTAGAGGAGACAGCACAGCTCCTTGTGGCAATCCAGCTTGGATTTCCCTGACAGAAAACAGGGTTCCTTCAACTCGGACCTGAAATGTTCTGCCCTTCAGAAAGGACCTAATCCACCGGATCAGGCCCCGAGGCAGATCGAAATCGAGCATTTTATGTAATAAGCCATATATTTCTATAGTCCTCGATCGTGAAAGGCTGAACCTTAATGCCGTCGGCCAGGATCACCAATTTTGAATAATTGACCTTATGAAAGGTGGCAAGTTTGGTAAATTGAACATACTTGTCCTTCTGGCGAACGACAATCGGAGGAACGCGTGTTTTCTTGGCGCTCTCCCTCGGAACGTCCCAAATCATTGGGTATGGTAGAAATGGAATTTTCGGATTTATTTTCCATTTTGTAGACTGACATTTCATGTTCTCCGTCTAAGGAGGATTTTGTTGTCGAAAGTTCCGACTCAGAAGCATTGTTTCTAGCTTCATCTCGAAGCTTTGTTTTCTTGGCTACTCTTTTAGGCTTCGTGCCGGTGTTTTTGATAATCGGAGCAGCTGGCTTTGAAGGAAGAGGAGGAAACTCCTCTGGAAGGCGTCGATTTTTGTTAGCTGGTTCTTGTGGCTTGATCGTATCTACTTTTTTAGAATCTGGCTGTGTAGAGGAGGTGGTGTTGATAGGAGTATCTTTGGGGGATACTTTCCGTGACGGGCGCTCGAGAAGCTCCATGACCCCTGGTGGGGGGCCAGAGGGCGTCCGAACTACCGCCCCGGGGCTGCCCCTTAGCAGCTCTGATGGACTCAGGCCCAAGCGGCCAAGTAATAAACTCATAAAGGTAATTACTGTCCCCTGTCCATGGCCATCAGGCTGTCGAGCAGTTCCTCCATACTGCTGTCAAATAACTCACTCCCTTTGATATCCCAAGGGCGAGCGATGACATCAGTCTCGCGAACTGATAAATCAGGACGTACTCACCAGAAGTCTGGAAGATTCTTGCACACTATAACCAACGCACTAAACTATCACAAGAGAATAACCACTGGTGAATGGCTGATCATCAACCCGAA